CCAATGGATGAACTTGCAACAAATATATTTTTGCCTTATGTAAAAAACGCTTTGGGGCTTGGCAAATATTGGGGTATGTGCATATTTCTTGGCCTCGCTCCTAATCATGAACTCTTGATATTTCATTGGCTCACACGTTACTGCTTTTTGACAACACATGCGAGCAGCAGCACCCACTGCTCACCGCGCAACAGCCACACGACAACATGGCAAAACTTAGAGAACAGCTGTGAGGACAGGACATTCCCAAACAATGAGTGGTGCTGGAGAATTTGTCAGATCCAGTGAGAACGAGGACGGATGTAAACATCGAGGGTGAATTATACGACTGCACAATGATTTCATAGCACGTATGTGATTATAGGAGGCCGGGGATGATGAGTGGTGAATCAGCTCAGCCTTTTTGGGGGGGATTGCCTCGGAGGGACGAGGCAGCAGGCCGTCACCGTAGCACCCAGAGAGAAGCTACAAATGAATTCCCTCCAACAACAAGCCCAGTCCTCGCCTGCTGCAGCACGCTCTGCCAGCACTCGCAATCAACCAGCGAATTCCTTCCCCTCTGCGTTGTGAGGCGGAGGGTGAGGACCGGGGGGTTTTGCGGGCCCCGGCGTTGTGATTTGTGCTGTTGTGTAATTGACAGGTATGTTTGAATCCAGTGTCTGATGCACGCATCACACCGCCTATACTGCCCCCACTGGGGTCGGACAGCAAACATGTTTGCTTCCAGGAACGTGAAGATACATGCCAAGATGACAGGGCTATTCAGAGATGACGGGGTTATCCTTTCGGTTAAACCGCATTGCGTGCAGCAAGTCATCGATCCCATGCTTGTGTAAACTAAAGGCCTACAATATGTGTCCAACACGTTCTTTAAGCCAAGTCCAACATCTGGCTTTTTTGGTTGAATAAACTTTAACTCTACCTTCAAAGCAGGGAAACACCTGAGACAATCTGACTGTAATTTATGACAACACAATGCTGAGATTTGGAAAAACTTGTTTTAAGTCGGCATGCTCTTATTTTGCCCGATGAGAGAAGAGAAAATGTGATCAAAGCTGAGCAGTTGTCAGCCTCTTCTTTATCTTTGCTAGGAACTGTAAGGCGTTGAAAGCAGCTGCTCTGAAGCAGACTGCTGCTCACTCACAGCTGACTGTCAGCTGTGATTTCTCTTTCACTGGTGCTAAATATTAAAGAAGCACGCCAGCATGTTTGCAGGTGCTAAATATTAAAGAAGCACGCCAGCATGTTTGCAGGTGCTAAATATTAAAGAAGCACGCCAGGGTGTTTGCAGCTTTTAACTCTTACTTCAAATACATTTTGTTGACCATTTTCAAATACATCCTTTCCAGTTTTAGGTTTTTGGATGTACCGTTACTGTGGTTTCGGGCATCCATTGGTTTTCATTGGTTTCTGAATGGTATGACAATCTATTAGCATATTCTTGAAACTTGCTTGATTCGGGCCATCGATCACAGTCTGCATTACAGTTACAGTTTACATGTAGACTGATTAGAAGGCTCTGCAATAGGGCTGAAACATATAATCTATTAGTCAATCAACAGAAATCGAATCAGCAGCTATTTTGAAAAAAAATTGATTAATCAAGTGTGGATAATTTACTGGTTTTCTTAGTCCTTCATGATAACAAATTGAGTATATGTGCTTTCAGACTGTTAGTCGTGCAAAAGAAGCATGTGAGGATGCCATCGACCGAAACGATTGGATTGGCAAACAAGAATTTAAAAAATTGTAACAAACATAAATGCAGACTTGATGTTCACTGAGATGAATAGTACAAATCAAACATTTTAAAATTCTGCTACATTTTTAGAAAAACAGAAGCATGGCTTGCAAACCGATTACCAGTGATGTAAAGTAAAGGTGAAGCTAAAACATGCAAAACCAGTGGTGTGGGCCTTTAAAAAGATAAGATGAAATATTAGAGAAATCAATATGTTAATAAATGAATATAACCTTTATCTACTGCAGGAAGCAAACAATGTTTCTGCCAGGATATACTGGAGTCTTTCATGGAGAAAGAGAGTCCCTTCCTTCCTCTCTCCCTATTTGAAATGCTCTTTCAGAAAGCTGAAGTCGGTAATCGATTTCAGCTCTCTAATCTCCTCTCTCCATTATGAGATCTCTCCTGTGCACCTGGGGCCAACGCTCTCATCTCTTTTTCTTATCTGGCAGATTGTCATCTGCCCGTGAGCACACTAGCCCTACCCAGTGGGGGTGCACTAATCCCCATTCACCAGACTCTTTATACAGACACACACACACACACACACGCAGCCGAAAGTACGCCAGACAGTGCCTTGAGCTGCCTGCGAGCAATGTAAAACAGTGACAGATGCGAGAGGCAAAACCAGCCCCAAAAGTAGCTAATCCCAGCTCATTACAGTGATAAGTAAACTATGGCATTTTATAGCTAAAAAAACATACATCTTTCAACCATAAAAAGCACCAAAATGCAAATGTTGACAATTTTGTGAACTTGTAATTACTTGCATCACATCACTTACCCTTGGGCAGAGTCCACTGTCACTTGAAACTGGACCACGACGAGAGAGTGGAGACGGTGAAGGCTATGAGTGTGACATGATTTCAGTGTGACACCATAAATGATCCTCGACAACTGTGATGAACCACCTCGCTCTGGCTTGACAGGAGGGGAGATGAAGGCTGCAGAGGAGGAGGGGATACAGATGGTGAGGGTATACTGACAAACAACGCGGAGGAAATCTGATGAATGCAGAGAAAACAATACTCTCATAGCTTTATGTAAATACGCTAAAAGAGCTTAAAGTAAAAATAGCTTTGATCATTTGGTGTATCAGAAGGAGAATGAAAATCATAAATTCATCGCCTTTCCACTCACCCTGACTTTGCTCTCGGAAAGAAATAAGTATACATGCAGAACAATGTCATCAGATAGGACAGAACGAGATCCAGTCAAATTGTCCACAGATTTTATGTTCTGGATATTCAAACCTCACCGTCTCATTTGTTCCAATAAGGAATAATTAGAACAGAAAAGACAGATGAATGTAAGGCTAAATGCCTTGGTGGGTTGTGAATAAAAACAGATTATTCAATTCAAATTGAGATTTACATTTTGTGATGCAGTTCTAGTGCTGAGCCTTTACCCCGATCTCAAGTTTAGGCAGTGGCGGCTGGTGGAAAATGTTCTAGGTAGGGCCATCCTATCAATTTCAGCAAACATCCCAGTATGATTTAATGCAAAAAAATTAAAGTATCAAACACGCATTACTACTTTGCAGTTAAATATTTAACATTTATTCTAACACGAAAAAAAACAGTAAATAACACTTATATAATATAATATAATATAACATGTTTATTTATTGAGATGCCCCTATGGACCTTGTTATAGGAGGTAAAGATCAGGAGAAGTAAACATGAAGTGTATTTATGAATACTGATGTTAAATTAAGCTATGATGAGTTTTCACTGTTAATTTACCATCTCAATTACATGTTGATGCCTCCATCACCAAGTTAAGCAGATGAGACTGAGGACAGCTATGTAGAAGAAAAGATGTTCACTTTGTCTAATATGTAGCTTGACAGAGTTCTCCATGTGTGTCCTGGTGTTCTCATGTTTCCTTACCTCCTCAGTCTCTACAATTTGAGGGCGCAGATTGGCTAAATTGTATGTCACTCATTTATATCTTTAATCAGCAATTGGCTAAACCGCTTCATAGACCCGCTTCTTTTGGGCAAAAACGATTTGGCCCCCCTAGCTGCGCGTTCTGAGACGTGTCGAGCACACAGGCGGAGAGCACGAGCAGACGAGCACACAGGCGGAGAGCACGAGCAGACGAGCACACAGGCGGAGAGCACGAGCAGGAAAAGCATATATTTTGCGCAGATATCACATTTTACACATATTACTGGGTACATTCCACAGTTCAAAAACACAAATATTGACAATTTGTATAATTTATTATTATTATAATTTTTTTTGTTTTTGTTGTGTGGCTCATGGTGGGGCCAGGCCCCATTGCCCTCCATTGGCCAGCCGCCACTGAGTTTAGGTGATACTTTGCACACTCAGGGATGAAGAAAATGAAGAAAAATGTTGTTTGTGTGAGAAAAAGAATCATATGTCCTTTTTATTTTATTTTATTGAGTCTGTTGGTGATAATTGACTTTATAGGATCACACACTGTCACAAACGAACTCAAAAATTCAATTCAATTTTAGTAAGAATCTGAAGTGCCTCACTTAATATAGTATAAGAAGAAGGAGAAATGTGATGCATTCCTGCATTCACAATCTTGCTGCTTGTCTACAAATCCGTCTGTGGCTCAGGGCCCAACAATACATCTCTGATATGCTTGCGCCATATGAACCCCCTAGAACTCTTAGGACATAGGACTAACAAGCAGGAACCAACTCTGACCACTTTAAAGTCAAAGCTAAAAACACATCTACTTTACATTGCCAACTACCCAGCAATGATTTTAAAAAGTATCCTCTTAGCATTTTAAAATAGCCTGTAATATTAATGTGGGAGTGTGCTGTGTTTGTTTTTTTAAATCTATTGGATTTTTACTTGATTCAAACAATACTACTATACTTTAATGAGTCACTTACCTGTACTGTTACACTTACTTTAGTTGTATTTTATTACCCTGTACACCACATTAAATTGCCCTGATGTGTGAAATAAAGTTGCCTTGCATTCCTAGACAGATGAAAGCGTGAAATATCTGAGTCTGACTGATTCTTCACTTTCACTTCTCACCATCATGTTGTACATCTGCAGTATTCCCTCCGCATCGTTAGATGGTGATGATCCACCGTGTAACCCCCACACACACGTCTCCGTGTTGCTTTCACTCCACCCCAGCAGATGGCGGGACAGAGGACACACACAGTGAAACATCCGCCGACAAAACAGGACGCCTTCTGCACGGTTACTGTCCCGTTTCATAACATCTGACTGCAGAACATTTAACGTTTCCCTGCAGAGTGCTAGTCAGTCTTTCAGTGGAGCGATGACCCGCATTACACGAATGTTTTCTAGAAGACCTCGCATAAAAGTCGGTGCGGCTTTGACCGCGTGCAGATGTTTCCACACAGAACCAGTAAGAACTTCATATTCATTGAGTACACTAACAACGCAGTGACCTGCATTCACACTGACCTTGCAGTGGGACTCCTCACCTTGCAGGTCGGACATGAATCCAGCGGACTTCCGATAGTTCATCACAGCAAGTATGTGTGCGACCTCCCACCCAACCACAGGTTCCCCATGGGCAAGTTCCCCCGGGTTCTGCACCATTTAATCAAAGATCAAGTCATTACAGAGAAACAGGTGAGCGACTCATTCATGTCGTCATTCTAAATATTATTATTTAAGTGCTGAAATGTCACCAAATGCAATCGATTAACACATTTAAAGATGTTACCCTGGGTGCTTGTACATTTTTTTTAATAGCAATACAAAATATACCAATGGATTGATGAGTGAAAATCATTGTTTCCATTGACATCACTTATTTTCTCACATTTTCCCGCTGATGACAATTGCCTTCTTCGCAGTAGGTGTGGGTCCCTGAAATTGCCTCGAAAGATTTACTCAGCTGTGTGCACACTGAGGACTACCTCAACAACTTCATGAGTGGGAAAACAAATGAGCAAGAACAGAGGAGGACAGGTTTCCCCTGGAGTGAAGGTATAGTGAGACGCTGTCGATATGAAACGGGTGAGAAGAACACCTCTCGGCGGTCTAGCAGCTGAATGGCCCCGGAAAGATCACACATCACATGTCACCTTCTCTGCTGTTGACAGGTGGGACTGTTCTAGCTGCTGAAGTAGCTCTGCAGAGGGGTCTGGCCTGCAGCACAGCAGGAGGAACCCATCATGCGTTTCCAAGCTACGGTTCAGGGTTTTGTCTCCTCAATGACTTGGCAGTTGCAGCCAAATACCTGATGGGCAGCTCCTCGCCCAAAAGGAAGGTTCTGATTGTGGATCTAGATGTGCATCAGGTAGCGTTAAAGTGTCTCTGCTGCTTTCAATGTCCTGCCAATATGTCATTCATCGCTCCGACGAGCAGCTCAGCTTTACGCCAGCGGTAAACCTTTCATCTCTTGCATCCAACAGGGCGACGGCACTGCTTTCATTTTTAAAGAGGAGCCCTGCGTGTTTACATTTTCTGTGCATTGTGGGAAAAACTTCCCCCTCCGTAAACAACAGAGTGACCTAGATGTCAGCGTGGAGGATGGGCTGGGAGACGAGGAGTACCTCTCCACAGGCAAGTTCACACAGGCCATAATAATAATAATAATCCTCATTATAATATGTGTTGAAAGTTAAGATCCAGATAGTGTTACTGTGTTCTAAGTTGACATGTGTTTCTTTTTTCTCTTGGCTGCTGTAAAAAGAGGCTTAAAATGAACAAGCTAAATGAAATGCTGAATGAAGAGTGTGTTTCCATGAACTTACTTACATGTCTGATGTTCCCTCCAGTGGAGGCCCACCTCCCCCGGCTGCTGGAGACCTTCCGTCCAGACCTGGTCCTGTACGACGCAGGCGTCGACCCTCATGGGGAGGATGAACTCGGGCGGCTCCGTCTGACCGACCAAGGTGACCGATAAGCTTTGACACCCGAGTGTCTCCACCTACAAGTCATTTCTAGACTCTTTTTGAATGACTGTGCGTATCTCCTAGGGCTGTATCAGAGAGATCTGTACGTGATGAAGACCGTGGTGAGCAGAGGCGTTCCTCTCGCTGCCGTTATCGGAGGAGGATACTCGAGAGACATCGACAAACTGGCCGTCAGACACTCCATCGTTCACAGAGCAGCAACTCGGGTACGGTACACGGGGAAAAAACCAGATGTTGGATGAGGCTTCTTCATACAACAGTGTTTACTTTAACAGTCTACAACATGTCAACTGTTTCAGTGAACAAGAGTGGATTTTGCATTAATGCTCGTCATATTTCAGGTGTGGAGGGAGTGTGGAATGTGAAACCTTTATGCCCTAAATCAAGAGGAGCCTCAGAGCCAAACCGGTACTTGATCTTCAGGAGCCAATATTTATATAACGGAAGTAAAAAACCTGGTAATTCTACATTATATGAATCAATACTTGTTTTATATACTGTATATCTATTCTGTACATGCAGCACGATTCATTCCTCACTGATTCTACCGTCTGCTCAGAGTATCTGAGCTCTACTCAGGATATTTTAATTTAGGAATGGTCACGCAAGTGGCTATCACAGTGTGTGGTATGTTTTGTCTGAAGAGTGATTTAACATGCCGTTTACCTCATCAAGATACTGCATCAGTACTTCTATAGTAGCAACTATCTGTGTAACTATTACACTAATAAACACAAATTGAGAATCCTCCAAGTTATTACAGGTATCATTCATGACAGTAAATGCAGCACAACACCACTCATAAACAAAAATATTTATTAAAGGAAAACCAAAAAAAACTCAAAAGTATTTATATCAGGTCACATAAGACATGAATGTACCAGTGTCACTTCAGAACAAACACAGCTGGTCGACGCACACTGTACTGATCAGGATATGCACCGTCCTTGGCACATATGTTTCAGATCTGACCGTGTTTTTATGTCATTCACCGACATCAAGCAGCGACATATTTGTGGTACAGTGCAATGTTTATTCACAGTATATGAGGCAGTGTATTTGTTACTTCAACACAAGACTGTATACAACTATTACAAACATCAAGCACACACACACACACACACACACACACTGGCAGCACGCTCTTAGAAACGCTTGGAGAATAAAATGCAGACGCACAAATGCTTTGGAAGATAATCTGCAGCTCTTCTTATGATAGTGTTATGAGATATTACACAAGAGCAGCTTAAGGAGTCCCACCAAGCAGTTCATAACAGACACTTTAGCTCATATTCAAGAGTCAAGGAACATGTAAAACAATGAATTAAGTACGAATTTTACACTGTAATAAACGCATTAAAACATTTAAGAGCAGGTGGAAGAGTGAACTGTGTTCCCACTAATTCCATCTTTGGCTAATATTAGAAGTCCAAAGAGAGAAACAGTGCTTTTCTTAAAATCTCTCGTGCAGAAATGCTCTTTTAAAAGAGTTCAAATCATGAGCGGCACTGGAGCTCGCTGTGGTAATTAAAACTAATTCCTAAAACTAAAAGGGAACACACACTGGACATGTGGTTTCATGTATCGACATAGAATAAATACTTAAAAAAATGTGGTATAGTGTACAGTGATGGCCATTGTTGAACACCTCCTACCTCTACTGCTGCTGCAAAACCATTACCATGATACCATCTAAAATGATATTTAATGCTAGATATGAAAAGGTCTGTCACACAGCTGGCTCTAGTACTACCAGAAACTATTAAGTTACACTGAAGTTAAGTAGAGAATTGCAGCAAAGGAGTAGTTTAGTGTACTTTCAACAACGGCTACATCTGTATATTCACTTTTCAGTCACAAGAGTGGCGTAATCATCAAACGTGTGATTGAGTGCTAAAACTTGAGGCAGAGTTGATGCGAGAAAATAAAATCAAACAAGTTAAAATCATATTTTCCATAACCGAACCTTCTCTGCCACCACACACCAGTTGGCGTGATCAAAGTAGGCGTGTTTGACATGAAGCTCTTCGACGTGGTTCTCTATCAGCTCTGCTAGTTCTCCCTCCCTGAAGACGTGATAGTACCTCAGGCAGGAGCCCTCCACCTGCCCCTCGCTCCCCTGAGGACTCCTTGTGCTTTCCTGCTGCTCTTTTCCCTGCAGCCCTCCTCCTCTTTCATCTCCAGACTGCTTCAGGTGCTCCTTCTGGAAAGGGACCAGATCCGGCAGGGCCAGAGAGCCACACTCCCGGGCTAAAGATACTGAGACACTCTGGTTCTGTTTGCCGTTGTTGTTGTTGTTGCCTCCGGGATCATTTTGTCCCTTGTGCAGGTCTGTGACGGAGTCAAAGACGTCCTCCTCTGATCCGATCACAGGCGACGGGTAAAAGAAGCTGGAGACCTGTTTGATGAGGCCTCGCCCTCTCCCGCACCGGCTGGCCTTGTTCCCCTCGTTTTCTCCCCTGGGTGAAGATAAAGCCCTCAGGTCTCTGGAGGACGACCGGGAGATGGCTAGGCTTCCAAAGTCAAACACAGAATCCAGGGACCTGGAGAAGAACCACAGTCTCTGTGTGCTCTGCTGGGGCGTGGCGCTGGCCAGATCTTCCTCGTCCGCCACGGAGGATGTGCTTCTAACCTTCCTGTGCTTGTCAGTGTTGTCTATGGCTTGCCTCACACTCTGAGCTGTGGCCCTCCTTCTGGGTTTGGCGTGCTCCCTGGTGAAATCGGAGGGCGAGTGAGGGTTGGGGTTCCAGGGAACGAAGATGTCCTGTTTCTCAAACTTCCGACGTTTCTGCTCCATGGCCCACACGTAGATCATGATGCGTCCACCCACTCGCAGGGTGCGAGCCATCTCCTTTATTGCTCGAATACGACGTTCTTTGGTGGACAAATGATGGATGACTGTGAAAAATGGGAAAAGCACTAATTTGTCAGAATTAAGTAGGATGATGAGTCAGCATTTCATTCATTATGAAGTCACATTCAGCACATTGCAGTCAACAAAACACATTATGCACACTGTGCGTGGGGCACAACACAAATTAATAATGTGGGCGTCTGCTGACGTCTATGCTCCTAATTGCACTCTTTTGTTGAACGACACAATAATTATCTCACACCGTTGGCTAGGCAACAGAAGCCTGTGGTAAAGTGATGTTTATCATTGTTATGAGTTCATTGAATTTGAGGCAAATGGCAGCTACAGCAGTGTCACCTCATGCATATGAAGGGAGCGATTCGTTACCGAATGGAAGGAATCAACAACATCAAAACCTCCTTTCAACTGTGTGTGTGTGTGTGTGTGTGTGTGTGTGTGTGTGTTTGTCCATTACCTGCAATGGAGAGCACAGCGTCGAAGCAGCCGTCTCTGTAAGGCAAATGCAGCCCGTCGCACATCTGGACCTCGTGTCCTTGGCTCCAGGCAAAGTCCACCAAGGGGTGACAAACATCACACCCCAGCTTGAACACCTCCTTGTTGATGTGGAGATACTTGCCATTGCCACAACCTGCCAATGACACGACAAATGACTTTGTGTTTCCATAAAAATAAAGCACAAACAATGTTTCGCGGGATGGCCAAGATTACATCACTGCTGGAGGGGACACCCACCAATGTCAGCCACGATGCTCCCCGGCTGCAGGTCCAGCAGGAACTGTCGGACCTTCGGCCAGGCTTTATAGCGGCTGTCGTTGAAATATGGAGCAATCTTGTCGTAGACACTGTGCACATGGTCCCTCTCGAGCTGACTGGCAGCCTCCTCCATCATGCCCGTCCAGGCTGCCTCATGCAGCGGCCTCACAGTATCATGCCTGCAGGGACAAAACACATCTAACTGCTCGTCTCCAAACCAATCATCCATCAAACGTTCACTCTATTCCTATAGGAGAGTAAAATATAGCAATGTGGACCCCCTGGAGAGAACAGCACAGAGGAAACCTTAATCAGGAGAGAGACACTCAAACGAGCAGTGGCGGTAATTCAACACTAAACCCTCCGCTTTGTACTTTAAGTACGCGCTGCGGTCATCATCGGTCACTCTTCGCACATCCAGCCCGCAGTCCACCTGAAGGACAGACTGATCTTTAGCACTATGAGCACAAAGTTGTGTTTAATCTCTCATCAATCGTCTGCAACTGTGAAAGAAACAGAGCGGGGGCATCATAAATGAACTAACAAGGTAACAGCGAGGCGGCAGTCCCCGTCTCACAGAGCAATCAGCAGGTCCATGTCCACAGCAGCCGTGTCAAATTGACGTAATGCAGAAACAAAAGGTCAACTCATAAATCATAAATTATTTTCCATCATCTGACAGCATTGCATAACTGAATACAACTAAACTGTTACAGCTGTTATTACTGTTGGTCAAATAAAAAATATATATTTTTTCATTTCATACAAAATTCTTCCTTCGTGTGTCTCATTCACAGTTTTTTAAAAAATTCTCATAATTTGTGAGAAAAGATTATGTAGTCGAGCCAAAAGCAGAGAAGCCAGTTAATATGGTTTGAAAAACTGTAAAATCATGTTAATGAGGATTTTACTGTTAAACGTTCAGAGATGCATCACAGAATTTCAGGAGTGATTTGGAGATCATGAAATTGTAATGTTTGTATTATGTCTGTTTTTTACATTTCCCACTGCAGGCTTCTCAGTTTATTAGCCCACAGCTCCTGCAGTGCTGATGCGGCTCCCTCAAGCGCAATATTGCACAAAGAGTTTTTCCGATGTTATTATCTAAAGAATAACATTGTTGTTTTAGGAAAAAAGAGATCTCAACATGCAGGCTTCTCATTTACACAAACAATTTTCAGAGCTTTTTGCCGAAAACTTCATCACATGCTTTGCAGCATGGCATTAGTCGGTTCAGATAGGTCATATTGACATGTGACTCGTCAAACCTCACAGTGATTTGACCATTTCAAAATGTGGGCTGCTAGAAATATCTTGCTTTCTTTATCTTTTGTAGACTGCATATCCACAACTTAGCTCCTGAAGAAGTTCATTAAGTCTGCAATTGATGAGGACAATAGCCTTTTATATGTGGTAGTAGCTAAAAAAGTTGTCTTTCTAACAATTGAATAAGACCAGAGGAGAAGTAAGCCCTCTTGTCTTCATCTACATTCAACATCTGATTGGTACAAACACTGTTATTAAGCAACACATCATCACTAAATCACAGTGCAAAATCAATGCACAAACAACACAGGTGCATTTGCTGCTTTCTGAGGCTGGAGATGTTCTGCTCTATGTGATATACAGATCATTTGTCATTTTGAATCACATGTGATGGATGGAAGTTGTCGATGCCGACCCACACCAGTATGCGTCGTATATCACTGCCATCATACAGCCGCCGTATGTTGCAAAATCAATAAGCGCTGAAAATATTGAAATATTTAATTGCGATCCACTTCATCTACCATCCACATCCAGCTTCCTCCACAGTGTGAAAGTCTGCTTTTAGCGTTCTATTAGATAGCAGCACATTTAGAAATGTAGAATGTCCTTCCAGTCGACATCTACCTCTGTTTTAAGCATGTCTGCCTGTTAAGAAATTCACAACATCAAATCTAAAACAGATGCAACCTAGTGAACCATGTACTGCCACAGTGCACTTTGCTGATGAGGTTATCCAGAAGGAAAGCTATTAGACATCTCTCCCCCCCCCCCCCACACACACACACACACACCTCTCTTAAAAGATATTAGACTGATATACGTCCTTGAATGTAATATAAATGGCAACATTAACGGCGGGATATAAGTAACACAGGCCAGCCAGTGCTACATGAAAATAATATTTCTCTCTATAAACAGCCAGACCCGTACCCTCACAGTGCATTACCAGGCTTGATTGCGTACGCCTCCGTTGGTAAATACAGTGTGTGCAGCATCCCCCTTTCCTCCACTCAGACCTATTTCTGGACCACCATCATCTGCATCCTCCCAGCCAAGTGGAAGGAAAACATTTCTTATGTAACGTTGTAAACCTGGCCTTCAGTATCGCCAGCGTCCCCCCCCCCCCCCCCCCCCCCCCCCCC